GCATTTGTAACATCCAGAGGCTTATGCTTTACAGTGTCCCCAGCAGATTTACTGTGAGTCAAATACTTATCAAAAGAGGGTAGCAGAGTCATCAGGAAAACAGGTTTTGGGGTCTGACAATTATAGTTCAGGGGAAGGACCCATCATTTTACTACTAATAGCCGTTTGACCTTGGGCAAAATGTTCACCCGCCCCTCTCAAGACCTCATTTTCTTCAGTACTCATTGGGCGTGAACTACTACTTTATTAGGTGATGGTGAAAGTAAGTGAAATAATATATATAAAGCTCTCATCTTGCATGGCACACAGCAAGTGCCTCCAAATGACAGTCTCTATTCTTTTTAGATGTTTTTTAGTATTTAAACTACAACCAATACAATGTGTATAGTATCATTACAAAACAAGTAATCTGTTTCATGCCTTTTCACTTGCAAGAGTCAAGAATTCCCTCACCTCCAAATCACATTACAAACAATGAAGATAAGAAATGTTTATTTTTCTCAACGGTGTTCAGTATTTCTTGATTGTTTTTCTTATGTAAGGGATCTTGTCGGAGTCATGACAGGAGTCTAATCAAGGCTTTTTTAGGCATTATTTCTGTTCCTGTTCTAGACTAGGACTAATAGCGACAGGCAAAATAATATTCCTGAGTAAGTTAATTATGCTTAGTCAGTTAATCACAAGGAGCATAAATTTGTCTTCACACTGCATGAGCCTAGAAGCTGCTTACTGGAGACAACGTATTTCTCATTTGAAATTAAGAAACTTGAAGGCAAAAAACATCTGAGGATTTGTCTGGACACATTTTGCTCTGATGTGATTTTAATAGAATAAGTCTGTCAAAAATAAGGGCATAGCCCTCTGTCTGTTAATGCAACAGTCTCTAACAGTGAAGAGGATCAATTGGATATATTTCATTATCCTTACAAATCAGAATGAGCTGTTTGGGCCTGCATGGAAATGCTGATGGCAGTAAGAGCATCCATGAGGCCGACCTACTGAACTTCATAGTTCACAGACTTTAGGAAACTTACTCCGCCAGCAGTCCTGGCATCTTTATGCCAGATTTTCAAATTGGCACACTTGATTATAGAGAGGTATAGAATGCTTTCTTTAACACTTGATATTTATCCTTTTTGTATTCTGTTTCCATAGTACAGATGGGAGGGCAAGCTACATCACTGAATAATGTAGCAATCTTAAAGATAAATGTTGGTAGCAGTTTTCAAGAGGGTGAAAATACAGTGAAATTATATAAATAACACTCTTCTAGTGGATGGGCATACTGGAAGTGGCCCCAAATGACAGTTGCTATTATTTTGAGATATTTTGAATATTTAAATGGCACACTACATAATATATTTGTTATTTTTATAGGACAAGTAATTTAACATTTGGTTGCCAGTCACAAACAATTCAGATATAATCAATCTCAAAAATGCAGACGGGGGAAATTATAGGGAATTGAATTGACTGCTGCCTTCTCCTTAGGTCTGTGTGATTGAGGAATGTGGGTTTCTTTTGTTTGTTTTGCTTCTTTTCTTTGTTTCATTAGCTATAACCATATTAAGGAATTTTGTTTTTAGCGAGTCTCAGCCTCATTGAAGTCTAGTCCTCCATAAGATGAGATCAATTCAGAAAGAAAAAGTTTATGAACAGATGTATTATTTCCTGACTGAACTTAAAAGCTATTTTTCTGTATAATAAAATTTGTGAATAAATTCAATGTTTATTAAATATAAAGCATGTTTATCTATACCTCTGGTAATATATTTAATACCAACTCAGCTATATGCTGCTGAAATTTTATTAAGCAAAAAGAAGGTGAAGTTGCTCAGTCATGTCCAAATCTTTGCGACCCCATGGACTGTAGCCTACCAGGTTCCACTGTCCATGGGATTTTCCAGGCAAGAATACTGGAGTCGGTTGCATTTTCTTCTCCAGGAGATCTTCCTGACCCAGGGACTGAAGCCGGGTCTCCCGCATTATAGGCAGGTGCTTTACTGTCTGAGCCACCATGGAAATCCCAAAGGAAAATATAAATTTGGGCTGGAAGACATATTTTGATCTTTTTTCCCAGGATTCTTTAGACTTGCAGAGTGAACTGGGCAGGGCATATTTTCCATAAGATGAATATGTTGGCTCAACTGTGGCTCAGGTTTGAGGTATCATTATCTTCCTTCAGGCCATTATGTTAGACACTTCCTAAAGGAATATATATTCCATGTGTGACTAATTCATTTCTAATTAAGATTATTAAATTACTAACATTTCAAAGAGAGTGCTTTCAATAAGTGCTTGAGCTGGCATTTTAAAATTCACTATTATTTGATGTTGAGTTAACAGACTCTACTAAGAAGCATATTGTTACTGATTTAATTTAAATTGTTACTAGTAATACTCAGATTCACCTATCTCATTTCTCACTTGTGTAACTTTGAGCATTTTGTTTAACCACTTAAGCCTTGTATTTTTCAACACTAAACTGGTAAAAATAATAGTATTCCTAGAATGGTAATTTTGAGTAGTAAATCAAGTCAAATAATATAACATGCTTTCAGCTGAGTTCAGTTCAGTTGCCCAGTTGTGTCCGACTCTTTGAGACCCCATGAATTGCAGCACGCCAGGCCTCCCTGTCCATCACCAGCTCCCGGAGTTTACCCAAACTCATGTCCATTGAGTCCATGATACCATCCAGCCATCTTTTCCTCTTGTCCCCTTCTCCTCCTGCCCCCAATCCCTCCCAGCACACAGTGCCAAAATATGTATTCAACATGATATGTGATGATGGGGGAAAATATTTTACCTTTGTGCATTTACAACATTTTTAAAGCAATTCTTTGAGATAAAGCTTACAATATTGTGAAAACAAGAAAGAGAAGCAAAGACAAAAAGGAGCATTAAAGAAACACGGCCACTGGTTCTCCTCAAGCAACTCCGTGATCTTTATTACCGCCAGGCTGAAGGATGAGACCCTGATGCTGGGAAAGTTTGAGGACAGGAGGAGAAAGAGTGACAGAGGATGAGATGGTTAATAGCATCACTGACACAATGGACTTGAGCTTGAGCAAACTCTGGGAGAGAGTGGACAGGGAATCCTGGCATGGAAACCTGACCAGTCCATGGGGTCTCAAAGAGCTGGACACGACTTAGTGACTGAATCACAACAGACAAATAAGAGGCAGGGGAGGTGGAGATAAAGTTCTGTCATGCATCCGATCATGTTTGAAGTGAGTTCCTTCTGTACTTCCCCCCCGCCCCAGAGTTCTAGGATTTTTAATTTGTCTCCAAATTGCTGAAGCAAAAATCATGCTAAAACATTCTGCTTTCCTTTACAACCCCTCAATTGGAAAAACAAACAAACAAACAAAATGAACTCCATAAGAAAAAAATGGTTTTGTATATGGGAAGAAACAATATAAGTTCAAAATTTACAGATAAGGGTTAGGTCTATCACTCATCTCTAAAAAGTTTATACGAATATCCAGTCAACACCAACAGAGTTATCTCCCTTGAAATGTTGTCTATATGGATTTCCAAGTAGACCACAGGGCTGCTATACTGTCTTGGAATGTCCTCAGAAGGCTCTGTCATTGATCGGGGAACAGAGTAAAAACTCCAGAGTCCTTTCTTTCAAATGGAAGACGGAGAGACAGGGATAGAAGAAATTATTCACACTTCATGTTCTCTCCTTGAGGCTTGTGGTTGCCTCCTCCTCTGCCTCCTTGGATGTCTCCCTGGCCTCCAAAGCCCCCCTGGCCTCCGCCACCAAATCCAGCTCGGCCACCTCTGCCACCACCTCGGCCTCCAAAGCCACCTCTGCCTCCTCCTTGGCCACCAAAGCCACCTTCATTCTGAGCTTTGGCCCAGGCCAAAGTGATTGTTTCCATCAATTTCACCATCTTCCATGGTCTCCTTGGCAGCTTTGGCATCTTCCTCGCTGTTGAAGTCTACAAAATCAAGCCCTTTGACCAGTCTCCTGGTCAGTGACTATTCTTGCTCCAATAGAGCCATCAAATGACTCCTTTAACATCTCTTCTGCAGTATCCTCAGAGAGACCTTCTACAAACAGAGTTTTGGCTGCCTGGCTTCTTGCATTAGGTGATCGCCTGAGTCCTTGCAACTCCAGTCTGATGGCTCTGTCCTCAATTTCCCTTTTATGACATGAATTTAAAGCTTATTTAGCCTCTTCAAATGAAGCAAATTTTATAAATGCATACCATTTCGATTTGCCATTTTGGTTCTGGGGCATCTTGATATGAGTTGCCTTCTCAAATACTTCCTGAAGAGTTTCTTCCATTGCACTATAGGAGAGGTTGTTTAAACCAGGGTTTTTGATTCGTCACTCCAAGTGCTATTCTTTCCACCTCTATGGTCTTGACTTTGACCTTTCTCTCCAGGGTAGTACAGAGAAAATGGATTGCCCGTCTATCTCTGTTCCCTGCTTTTCTTCCGAGGTTTTTTTCTGCATCAGCTTCTGTCTTAAATTGAATATAAGCAATCCCTTCACTCTTTCCATCCTTGCTGACTAATTTGATCTCCACAGCATCTTCAAACACTTCTTTTAATTCATCCTGAGTAACTTTGCAAGGCAGATTTTTAGCCAAAAGGGTTCTCGCACCTCAATCTTCTTACTGTCTTTGCTAAAGACTTTTAAACCAGTGAGTTCCAAGGCTTTTTCCAGGTCTTCAGCAGATTCAAAATCCACATAGCCAAATTTCCTAGACACACCAATTCTGACATCAACAACAGAAAGATCATTTTTGGCAAAAATGTCACTGATACCCGTTTTCAATTCAGGAGCAGATTTATTGAAGTTCACGTTTCCAACAGAGAGACTGAAAGATGTAGTTGTTCTGTGCCTTCCACTTTTTGTTTCTTGGCTTTAGGAGCTGCTTTTTTTTTGGCCATTTCCTTCTTTCCTTTTCCAGGTGCTTCTTTGACAGGCTCTTCTTCCTCTTCCTCCTCCTCCTTTTCTTCCTCCTCCCCTTCATCATCACCATCCTCTTCATCTTTAGCAGTGCTCTTGCCCTTCACAGCAACAGCTTTTTCTAGAGCTTTCTTTCCTTTGGCTGGTACAATCTCCATAGGTTCTTCTTCAGAGTCATCTTCATCCTCCTCATCCTCATCCTCATCCTCTTCATCCTCATCATCTGTGACAGGAGCAGCACCAAAAGCAGCTGCTTTCCTCATTGCTGGCTCATCCTCTTCTTCATGATCCCTGTCTTCTTCTTCACTGTCATCTTCATCTTCCTCATCACTGTCTTCTTTCTTGCCATTCTTGCCATTCTTTGCTCCCTTAGCTGGAGCAGCTGCTCCCTTCTTACTAGCGGTTGCTACCAATGCTTTGCCTGGGGTGGCTCCCTTTTTGCCAGGCATTACTACTGCTTTGGCAGGTGTAACTGTCTTCTTGGCTGGCATAGCCATGGCCTTTTTTGCCAGGGGTGACAACTGCTTTCTTTGCTGGTGAGGCAACTGCAAACTTTTTTGATGGGGAAGCCATCATCTTCTTTGGTGGAGTTGTGGTAGACTTCTTGCCTTTGTTCTGAGGGATAACAACCTCTTCTCCACTGCTGTCATCCTCTTCATCTTCTGACATTTGCTCATCTTCACTATCTTCTTCAGGGAGGAGCCATTTTCTTGGAGTCACCTTGATTTTTACTGACCTTTGCAAGCTTAAAGCTCAACATTCAGAAAACTAAGATCATGGCATTCAGTCCCATCACTTCATGGCAAATAGATGGGGAAACAGTGGCTGACTTAATTTTTCTGGGCTCCAAAATCACTGCACGTGGGGATTGCAGCCCTGAAATTAAAAGACAGTTGCTCCTTGGTTATGACCAACCTAGACAGCATATTAAAAAGCAGAGACATTACTTTGCCAACAAAGGTCCATCTAGTCAAGGCTATGGTTTTTCCAGTGGTCACATATAGATGTGAGAGTTGGACTATAAAGAAAGCTGAGCGCCGAAGAATGTATGCTTTTGAACTGTGGTGTTGGAGAAGACTCTTGAGAGTCCCTTGGACTGCAAGGAGATCCAACCAGTCCATCCTGAAGGAGATCAGTCCTGAGTGTTCATTGGAAGGACTGATGCTGAAGCTGAAGCTCCAATATTTTGGCAACCTGATGCGGAAAGCTGACTCATTTGAAAAGACCCTGATGACGGGAAAGATTGAGGGCAGGAGGAGAAGGGGACGACAGAGTATGAGATGGTTGGATGGCATCACCAACACAATGGACATGTGTTTGGGTGGACTCCGGGAGTTGGTGATGGACAGGGAGGCCTGGTGTGCTGTGGTTCATGGGGTCGCAAAGAGTCGGACATGACTGAGCGACTGAAATGAACTGAACTGAACTGAACTGCGAGCTTTACCATGATGGCAGCTTATGATGGCGGAGTGCGTGGTGAGCAAGTGGCCCAGACCGAGCCCAGAGGACCCTAAGCACCATTAATGGTGGCCACTGATCCTGGAGTGCATACGCTTGGCTGCCAGCTAGCAGAGACTGAGGCAAAAGACTGAGCCTGCCCAGTAATCACCTCTGGAAAGGTGACGATGGCCCCTTCTGTACATTCTTTAAACGGTGAAAACAAAAGCTGGACAGAAATGATAAAAATAGATCACAATCCAGATTCCAGCGATTATATTAAAAAAAATTGCTATCACTGGCTCACAAATGAGAACCTCCATTAGTAAATCATCCTAGTTTTTGCTTTTGCAAGGATTAATTTTGCAATTTTAACTTATGCTGCCTCATTTTCTTTCTCTAATACTTCTGGGTAGAATTAAACCTTCAAGGTCCAGTGAAAGTGGCTGAAATTTCATTATCTTTTATGTCTCATCAAATTATTTACCTTGCCAAGCATTTGCTGCCCACTTTTCTTCTGGAATTTCAATTCAAATTTACTTTAAAGAACAAGTGTGTTGCCCTCACTGATGAGAAACCCATGTTTGCAGTAAACAGAAGAGAGGAACATGAAAAACTCATTAGAAAAAGAGAATTTGTTTTTGTAATGCCATTTAGGGTGTGATTGATTTGACAAGGAGGTGCTGAGAGAATATACAAGCATGTAAGTCCAGTTTGTAGAAGGAGTAATCATTGTCTCCCCAAAGATTCTTCCTCTCATCTGCTGAATTATGGCACCGCATTTCTCTTGCCTCTGGTGTGAAAAGTGAAAGTGAAAGTCACTCAGTCATGTCTAACTCTTTCTGACCCCATGGACTGTATAGTCCATGTAATTCTCCAGGCCAGAATACTGCAGTGGGTAGCCTTTCCCTTCTCCAGGGGATCTTCCCAACCCAGGGATCAAACCCAGGTCTCTCACTTTGCAGGCGTGAAATTCACTTGCAAATATTTCAAGTACTTACATTGGTTTTAAGGTAGTCTACTTTTAAGAATGGGAAATGTCTTCTATTATTTTATATTTATTTTCAATCCCTCAGCCGGAAGTGAACTGAGGATGTTGTCCTGGGATGTGATGAATAGGCATAAAATAAGCATGAGGTCCATATTCTCATGCTTCTTTCTTTACTCTGTCCATCCCTATCACCACTACCAAGTGCCTAAAGCACACCTCAGCAAACAGTTCACAAGTCACTAACCCGGGCCTTGTTATGGTAGTGGTGCCTCGGAGGTTTAAAAATCATCAGTGTGATTTTCCATAATACTTTAATATTAAACCCTCTATCAGTCGTGTCCGACTCTGAGACCCCATAGACTATAGCTCATCCGGCTCCTCTGTCCATGGGATTCTCTATACAAGAATACTGGAGTGGGTTGTCATTCCCTTCTCCAGGGGATCTTCCCGACCCAGGGATTGAACCCTGGTCTTCTGCATTGCAGGCGAACTCTGCCATCCGAGCCACCAGGGAAGCCCCCTGTATTTAATATTATATGGTATTTAATATGGATATTGAATAATTTTTATACTATTTTATAAGACTGCTGCTGCTGCTAAGTCGCTTCAGTTGTGTCTGACTCTGTGCGACCCCATAGATGGCAGCCCACCAGGCCCCTCCATCCCTGGATTCTCCAGGCAAGAATACTGGAGTGGGTTGCCATGTCCTTCTCCAATTTTATGACTGTTTTATGCTAAACATTATGCAGGAAACTCTGGACACAAAATTATAGTAATTATAATTTCAGGCAAATTCACTCCATTATAGCGTATTTCAGACAGTTTCTTCTAAGTAGGTAATGAAGGGTAGTCTGAGGTTGTCAAGGAGGATGTATCGTGTGAAGAAGATGGTCTCTGGGTTCAGAGAGACCTGGGACAAATGTGTGTTTCTCCATTAGCGACCTTGTTAAGTTATCGTTTGTTGAGTTCAGCTGGCAATGCTGTAAAATGTTGATAGTGATAGTGACATTTATACACAGGATTGACAGGGCTATCAATCGCCTTTCCTTGGAGAGAACTGCAAAATCCACAGAATTATCTTCCTGGTTTTATCTGTGGTCTCCAGAGCAGTGGCAACTGCATCATCACTGGTGATACGGCCAAATGAACATTACCTCCAGGGCTCACTCACTCCCACAGGAGCCCTAAGAAGGGGCTTCATATTACAATCCAGATTCTACTTGTTACTGGGGAAAGGGAATATGAGAAAAAGGGCAATGTAAACACCTGCGCAGACCGTGACCTTATTCAAATATCCCATTAAAAACAATAGCACGGTTATAAAAATGAATACACCACAAATCAAAAAGCACAGGAGAAGAGAGAATGTTAAAAACAACAGTACCTTTTTCAAGGTTGGGAATACAGACTAGAGAACAGACATGTGAACATGGGGGTGCGGGGTGGGGGTGTAGGGGGGGAGGAGAGGGGTGGGCTGAACCGGGAGATTAGATTTGACATAAATACACCACCATATGTAACATAGCGAGCCAGTGAGAACCTGTGGTGTAGCCCCGGGAGCTCAGTCAGAGCTCTGTGATGACTTAGAGGGGTGGGATGGGGGATGGTGAGAGGGAGGGGATATATGTATGCATAGAGCTGATCGACTTCATTATGCAGCAGAAACTAACACAACTGTGTAAAGCAATTATACTCCAAGCATTTTTTTTTAATGAATAAAATAAAAAATACAAATTTGGGAAGCAGATGTTATTAGCAGTAAGAGGCTTCACAGAACTGAGAAAGCCGAAATCCAGAGCCAGGAAAAGGCAATGTAATTTAGCAGCAAGATAATTTACAGGGCAGAGCTCTTAAGGGTTAAGGAATTAGAAACTCCATAAACCTCAGGATGTGGTAAAGGATGGGGCAAAAACTAGGATGCTTGTTACACATTTCCTTAAGAAATGCATAGATTTCTGAGATGAAGTTTTTTTTTTCCACCTGTTCTAGTAGACAACTATCACCTCTCTTGTAAAGGTGGGAAGTTTCTTCTCTTCATAAATAGAGCTAGAGAGAAAAAGGACACAGTAAAGGATAGGGACTAAGCTTGCTTATTAAAAACAGGAATTACATTGAAGTGCATATACTTTAGATCTCTTTCACTATTTCTCTTCCTAAGGACACTGAAATATATTTTCCTTTGGAAAAATTAAATGCCTAAAGAAAATATCTATATTGGTTAATTTTTTGACAGAAGTCCAGCAAAACATTTGGGTCCTTACTCAGTCTCCTTCGGTTAAGTCCATCAATTGACAAGCTCTTTCTCCAGAACACAGAGATGATAATTTTTATCTTAGTACCTAAATAAAAAAGAAAAAGATTTGAAAGAGAGAGAGAGAGAGCTAATTCATGGAAAAGAAAGCATGCAAGAAATGATAATATTCTCTGGGGGATAAAAAAGAAAATCTTGCACTGATATTACAACCACTGGATGCTCTTTCTTTTTAAGAGAAAAAGATATTAAATATCACTCCTGCTATCCATATAAATGTAAAAAAATATAAACATGAGGAAATCTTTCAGAAAGAACAGGTAGAACTGGCCAGAAAAGAAAATGTAGAAAAGAAAAAGCAAGAAAATTAGGAGATCATTTCAGGGGGACCCAACATCCAAGTAATAGGAATTCCAGAAGGAAAACAAACAGGATTTTTCTGAGGAGGACCTCATCTAGGACCACTATACCCATCTTCACATTTGAGCAGAGCCTGCCATGCAGAGAGTGACATGTGACTTCCTGAAACACTTCAATCCCATTATCAGACTTCAAGACAGCACTGGTGTTTTAGTTTAATCTTCCAACAGTTGTGAAGAACAAGCCCCAGCATAAGGGAGCTGACTTCTAATCCCATCAGCAGGGATCAATGGGGTTTCATAGAGTGGGACCAGACCCATCTTCTATAGATCTCATTGCCTCGATCAATGAGTTAAAAAGAACCCCAGAACTTAGTTCTTCTCTTTGCCCCCAAATCCAGGGTCTCCTGCTATTATATGCCTTGAAGTCATAAGGATTTATAGATATATTTGTATTCT